AAAAATGTTGTTGTTTTTCAGGTATGAGCGTGAAGGTGAACCCAACATGCTTGCTCCTATAGATTTCTTTGTTAGTACTGTGGATCCCATGAAGGAACCTCCTCTGGTTACAGCAAACACTGTTCTTTCAATATTGGCCATAGATTACCCTGTTGATAAGATATCATGCTACATTTCTGATGATGGAGCTTCAATGTGTACATTTGAATCCCTTTCAGAAACTGCAGAGTTTGCTCGGAAGTGGGTACCGTTTTGTAAGAAATTTTCTATAGAACCTCGTGCACCTGAGATGTACTTTAGTGAGAAAATTGACTACCTCAAGGACAAAGTTCAACCCACCTTTGTTAAGGAGCGTAGAGCTATGAAGGTTTGTATTAAGTATACACATTTTATATACCAGAATAACCACTCCCCATTAAACTTTGATTAGCGATGATAGAGGCGAGGATAATCCTTGTAAACAGTCTTGTCCTTATATATTTGTCAAAAGATTGTTTACTCGATTTGAATCTGTGACCTTTCAGTCACAAAAGAGCAACTTTATCACTGCTTTAGGCTCGCCCTCTTAATATATAGCAGAATTCTGAAAAAAAAATAAAAAATATTGAGATTTTGATATCACTTTAGAACATGGATTCACTGTTAATTTTGTGTTTGACAGAGAGAATATGAAGAGTTTAAGGTTAGGATCAATGCACTTGTTGCAAAAGCACAGAAAGTTCCTCCAGGAGGGTGGATCATGCAAGATGGGACACCTTGGCCAGGGAACAACACTAGGGATCATCCTGGTATGATTCAAGTGTTTCTTGGTAACAATGGAGGTCTTGATGCTGAAGGAAACCAGCTTCCTCGCCTTGTTTATGTTTCCAGAGAGAAAAGGCCTGGTTTTCAACATCACAAGAAAGCTGGTGCCATGAATGCTTTGGTAGAATTTTTTAGCATCTTTTGTTACTTCCATTATGTCCATTCATTCACCTTAATGAATCATAACTTATTTGACTCTTGCTAATAATTGCTGTGATTTCCAGGTTCGGGTGTCTGCTGTTCTCACAAATGCTCCTTTCATGCTGAACTTGGATTGTGATCATTATGTGAATAATAGTAAGGCTGCCAGAGAGGCCATGTGCTTCTTGATGGACCCTCAAACTGGGAAAAAGATCTGCTATGTCCAGTTTCCTCAGAGATTCGATGGCATTGATACACATGATCGTTATGCTAACAGGAACACGGTTTTCTTTGATGTAAGTCACTGAAAAAAATCTCAGCAATAACAGGATTTTTTCCATGCAAATGTTTTTCTTTTAAACATTATGTGCAGAATATTTGATTACTTACCCTTTTCTTCTGTCTTTCTGCAGATTAACATGAAGGGTCTAGATGGTATTCAGGGTCCTGTATATGTGGGCACAGGTTGTGTTTTTAGGAGGCAAGCTTTATATGGCTATAATCCTCCCAAGGGTCCCAAGCGTCCAAAAATGGTAAGCTGTGACTGCTGCCCATGTTTTGGAAGCCGCAAGAAGAATAAGCATGCAAAGAGTGATGCAAATGGAGAGGCTGCAAGCCTAAAAGGTTCTTTTTCTTTTTTCTTTTTATTAATCATTAGTCTTTCTTGGCACTAACTTATATCCAAATTGATTTCCTTTTACGTACACTAACCTTCTGTGATCACTTGTCTAAAATAGGGATGGATGATGACAAAGAGATTCTGATGTCCCAGATGAATTTTGAGAAGAAATTTGGGCAGTCATCTATTTTTGTGACTTCAACCTTGATGGAAGAGGGTGGTGTGCCTCCTTCCTCAAGTCCAGCAGGTCTGCTTAAAGAAGCCATTCATGTAATCAGCTGTGGATATGAAGATAAAACTGAATGGGGACTTGAGGTACAATAACTAACAACCACTCTTGCCTTAGGACTCTTTTGATATATATCTTATATTTGTTCTAATTATAAGAAAAGAGGACGAGCGTGGAGTAGTGGTAAAGCTACTCCTTTGTGATCAAAAGATCACGGGTTTTGAATCTGGAAAATAGTCTCTTTGTAAATATGCAAGGTTAAGATTGTGTACAAGAATTGCCCTTACTCCACCCTCGCTAGTTGGGATTTAATGGGTAATGGTTTGGTTTGTTCTAATTATAAGAAAGTTAGCTCATATGACCATGTTTTTGCTTTTCAAATGTGCAGCTTGGTTGGATCTATGGATCTATCACAGAGGATATTCTAACAGGTTTTAAGATGCATTGCCGTGGTTGGAGGTCCATTTACTGCGTGCCAAAGAGACCTGCATTCAAGGGTACTGCTCCTATCAACTTGTCAGATAGACTTAACCAGGTGCTTCGTTGGGCCCTTGGCTCCATTGAGATCTTCTTCAGTCGCCATTGTCCTTTATGGTATGGTTTCAAGGAAAAGAAGCTAAAGTGGCTTGAGAGATTTGCCTATGCAAACACAACTGTCTACCCTTTCACCTCCATACCTCTAGTTGCCTACTGTATTCTTCCTGCAATTTGCTTACTCACTGACAAATTCATCATGCCGCCGGTAACAATTTTATTCTTTCTCTTCCTGTTAGCAACTGAGTTATACTTATACTTGACATGCTTATGACATTATAGCCTGCCACTTTTCCATGATAATAACCTTCAAAACAACAAGACATGATGTGAATGCTAATCATCTTTATTATGTACTAGGACTTAACCTTTTAATCCAATACATTAGTTTAAAAAAGCTAGGTCCTCCAATCCTAATTCAAGGTCTCTTTAGCTTATAATGCTATTTTTCTTTTGGTTGATGATGATCCAGATAAGCACTTTTGCTGGTTTGTATTTCATTGCTCTCTTCTCTTCAATCATTGCGACCGGTGTTCTTGAGTTGAAATGGAGTGGAGTGAGCATTGAGGAATGGTGGAGAAATGAACAATTCTGGGTCATTGGTGGTGTATCAGCACACCTGTTTGCTGTTATACAAGGTCTTTTGAAGGTTCTAGGTGGAATTGACACCAACTTCACTGTTACATCCAAAGCAACAGATGATGAAGAGTTTGGAGAATTATACACCTTTAAATGGACCACTCTCCTAATTCCTCCAACCACTATCTTAATCATCAACATTGTTGGTGTTGTTGCTGGAATCTCAGATGCCATAAACAACGGATACCAATCTTGGGGACCACTATTTGGAAAGCTATTCTTTTCCTTTTGGGTGATTGTTCATCTGTATCCATTCCTTAAAGGTTTGATGGGTAGACAAAACCGCACACCAACAATTGTTGTGATTTGGTCAGTGCTATTGGCTTCTATTTTCTCCTTGCTTTGGGTAAGAATTGATCCATTTGTCCTCAAGACTAAGGGACCAGATACCAAGCTATGTGGAATCAACTGCTAGAAGACTTGTTTTCCTATTATATTCTTTGATGAACATCTTTAGAAAATTTATGTACATTGTTGATTTTAAACTATGATGCGCAAACCAACAAAAATTGGCCATGCACAAGGATGAATAAGGAAAGAGTGAAAATTTTGTGTAGTATAAAATGCAGTGTTTTTCATTTTTTGTAAATGTTGTCAATGACATCTTGGTTATCATATGTTCTGGCTCAACCTGCCTAAGGATTTTAAAGTAAATCAAAATTACAGTTTTAGCTATTCACTGTTGCAATATTAAAATGTTGCTTAATTGTACTCTTTCTCATGATGTTAAATTCAAAAGCATATATAATAAATAGCATATGCAAGAGAATAATATAAACTAGAAAGAGAAAAAGTTAAAAGAAGAAAGCAAAAATATTTAGACTAAAAACATTGTCATTAGTGGCAGCAATTGCAGCAGCAAGTGTAACCCTGGACATTATAAAGCAAAAACTTTACTGAAATCCTAGTTTTCTATTTCTCTCTTTTTTTGATAAAATCATAGCTTTCTTTATAGACTTGGAAAAGCTTACTGAGCAAATATTTCTCATAAAATTCAGCTCAAATTACATATATATATATATATATATATATATGTGGAAAATTGGGTGTCCAGTTACTAGATATAAGGTTTTGTTCAGTCACAACATTATAACTATGTACTCAAGAAAATACATAGTTATAATGTTAAAGGTATAATTTTTTCTCTCTCTTAAGAAACTTGTATGCTAACGTGGAAAGTGAAAAAAAGTATAATTTTCATATTATAACTATGTATTCTCTAGAGTACATAGTTATAATACGGTCACTGGACACCTGATGGACCTATATATATATATATATAATATATATATATATATATTATATATGGGAAAACTATTTTTAAGATAAAGTTATCTTGTGGAACCTAAAATGATGTTGTTTTAGGATTTGAAAAAAAAAAAATTACGAGCATTTTGAGAATTGTGCTTCTTTATTGTAAAATGAATTTTCCTAATACACAAGTAAAATTCTCAAAATATCGCTTACCAAAAAAAAAAAAATCTCAAAATATCGGATATTTGTTTCCTAACCACAAAACAATATCATTTTAGAATTGTAGGAAATAATTTTATCTTATACGGCAAGATAAATACTTTTTTCAATATATATGGGGAAGGTTATATTTACAAAATTTTTGTTTACAAACTACACTAAGTATAATCGGTCATACTTCAATCAAGAGTGTATGACCGGTCATACTTAGTGTAATTTGTAAAAAATATTTGTGAACGGATTCTTCTCATATATATATATATATATATATATATATATATATAGAGAGAGAGAGAGAGAGAGAGAGAGAGAGAGAGAGAGAGAGAGAGAGAGGTAACATAATGAATTCTAAACTGAATTGTTTCACTAAAATCATGAGGCATGAAGTTAGTTTCATTATTGCCATTGGACAGCAAAAAATGTATCATATTTCAAGAAAATATGTATTTAAGAACGTTATTTTAAGAATTTGCATTGGGCATTAACTCTAGAATGTCCCTTTAGTGGATTTTTCCGTGCTTACTCTCCACTACATTTATACATAAGAAGGAATATACGAATGCTACTGTGTTCTGTTTCTTCCTCTGCTTGCTTTTTCATCCATGCACTAGTGCATTGCCAAACAACAACAACAACATAATAATAATAAATTACGAAGCAGGTGTGCTTCACAATGATTATATCCGCTGAAAAATAAAAGACATGCTGAATTAAACAAAATGTTTGAAATAAGGCTCAAGATGTTTGTTAAAAAACATTCAACAGAATGAGTTGCTTAAAACGTGCACTAGAAAGCATGAAAGCAAAACAACTTACTTGATCAATACATTGGTATCTGGCGACCTGGTTTTTTATTTGATCTTCAAGCCATCTTCTTTGAATCCAATCATTGACGTGTCAGGATTTTGCTTCATGAACATAATATAAAGGAGGACGAAGAAAGAGGGGAATAAAATTTTATACATTAGACTTCAGTCCTTTGTTTCCTAATGTGATAAGGACATGAAAAATATCAAGTTGGGTTCATATGCATATCTTCAAGAAGAATCTCTTTTAACATTGCTATCATGTCAAATTCAAAAAGTAAATGGCTGAACTCACCCTATCTACGATGGTAATTGCATGTAAAAGGTGGAAGCATGTATCTTTTAAGTGAAGAAACAAGGTGGTGACATCCTATCCTTCTTTTCCATTATAGTCATTTTTGTGGGGTTGTGTTTAAAACAACATAACACATCAATTTTTGTGAGAGGAAACATCAAGAGAGAGGATCTCAGTATCCTGAAAAAGATTGAGTTGCATACCAAGCAGCAACATGGATCTGAACTTGAGCATAAGTGTCACTAGTAAGTATAAAACGTCAAGCATCTTAGGAAGAACGTCCTGTTTCTATAGTTGCTGTATAAACATTATGAAACTGATACATGAGATATGCTTATTCCACCTACGCACCTTAACAAGGAGAGAACTTTAACCTATAAACTACACAAAAATACGTGCCCTTTTCAGAAAGATGATGTCTCAGCATTAAGCTATTTTTCTTAAATGCAAACTCTATCCTGGTTTCAACGCAAGTTTAGTTGCAGGATAACTTCAACTCTTCAAGTCAATAATAACCCCACAACCAACACTAGCACCTTTATGTGGACACCAAAAACAGGAACCTCTACCCTTTACCTTAATTCAGGAGAGGTGTTATATATATAAACTAGAACCTCATTCACCAATACTTGCACTGCTTCCATTCCCCACTCACCATGGAAGCTAGGACTGGACTTTTTGCAGGGTCTCATAACAGCAATGAGCTTTTGGTTGTTCAAGGACGCGATGAGGTAAACAATTGAGAAACAAGGAAGAGAAGTTTCTTTGTATTATAATTTGGTGACATTTTCTATATGTTTGAATAACTTATACCTAATTTTGTTGCAGCCTAAGCATGTGAAGAACTTAGATGGTCAACTCTGTGACATATGTGGTGATTCTGTGGGACTTACGGTGGATGGAGACTTGTTTGTAGCTTGTGAGGAGTGTGGTTTCCCAGTGTGCAGGCCATGCTATGAGTATGAAAGAAGGGAAGGGACTCAAGTTTGCCCTCAGTGTCATACAAGATACAAGCGTATCAAAGGTAATTGGAAAACAAGTAACTATATACTGAATATATGAGACGATGGAAATTATATTTTGTAACTTTTGTCTTTGATTGTTATTTATTAATGTGAAAAGGAAGCCCAAGAGTGGAGGGAGATGAAGATGAAGATGATGTGGATGATATTGAACATGAATTCAAAATGGAAGAAGAAAAGTACAAGCTTCAGTATGAAGAGAAGCTGCAAGGGAAAATGAACCATGGAGATGATAATGAGAACTCTAAATCAATACCGGTAGGTTTAGCAAATGTTAGTCTAAGCCTTATAGAAGGAAACAAAATTCTACTTGCATTTAATGTATATAATTAATATTTTTACCTTTAAAGGGGGCAAATTGGAGTAGTGGTAAAGCTGCTCCTTCATGACTGAAAGGTCATGAGTTCGAATCAAGAAAACAGTCTCTTTGCAATTATGCAAGGATAAGGCTGCGTATAAGGATTATCTTCACCCCACACTCGCTAGTCGGGTTTAACAGGGAGTGATATTTTTTTTTAAGGTTTTCATTTTCATTTTTACTGGACTATTCCTTTACATAGTAATTTAGACTATTTGTACGCAACATGCAGGTGAATGGGGAGCTACCCATATCTTCTCACAGTATTGGAGAACCTGGTATGTTTTAGCCTTCTCCGTTATCACCTTTAATTTTTGTTTCCTAGTTTGTAATTTGAAATTATGGATCTCTTTATGATGGAGGAGTAACTTTCTCTTCTTGCTACAATAAGTAAGAAAATAGAGTTAAAACACTTGCTTAATATAATTAACATGTCTTCATGAAGCAGGTGGTGCAAAATTGCATGACAAGGAGAAAATAGATGACTGGAAGTTGAGTCAAGGCAATCTGATGCCTGAAACTGATGCCTCAGTTGATCCTGAAAAGGCCATGTATGCATCATCATGACACCATTCCGTAATTTAGGAACCTTGTGATACTATTTTAGCAACCATGTGTCCTGAATTCTAGGAAAATGCTAAACTAATTAATGTTTTGTGTGCTGTCATATAATATGATGCAGGAAAGATGAAACTAGACAGCCACTCTCAAGGAAAGTAGCAATACCATCAGGCAGACTCAGTCCTTATAGAATGATGGTTGCGGCTCGGTTCATCATTCTATTACTCTTCTTTCAGTACAGAATCTTCCACCCAGTACCTGATGCAATTGGACTCTGGTTCACATCTGTAATATGTGAAATCTGGCTTGCATTGTCATGGCTGGTTGATCAGATTCCAAAATGGTTTCCTATTGATCGCGAGACATACCTTGATCGTCTTTCAATCAGGTGTCATGAATTTCTCTGCAGCTGTGATCTAAATGGAGCTAATTTTCATATTCATATAACTTCCAAGAGCAAGAGTAGGCACCAAGTAACCAATATTACAAAATAACATGGGCTATTAAATTATAATGAGTCACTAACAACACATTATACAACGTTCATGACTTTATGGTTGATTCTACTTCTAATAAGAGCTGAAATATGAATTAATAAGCTAAATGTCTAAAACTTGTAATGCAGGTTTGAACCGGAGAACAAGCCAAACATGCTTTCTCCAATAGATATCTTTGTCACTACCATAGATCCAATCAAGGAACCTCCTCTAGTTACAGCCAATACTGTTCTTTCAATCTTGGCCTTGGATTACCCTGCTGACAAAATCTCATGCTATGTTTCTGATGATGGAGCTTCCATGCTCACCTTTGAAGCTCTTCAAGAAACTGCTGAATTTGCGCGAAAGTGGGTACCTTTCTGCAAAAAATTTTCTGCAGAACCTAGAGCACCAGAGAAGTACTTTTCTGAGAAGATAGATTATATGAAGGATAAGCTTCAGTCCACATACGTAAAAGAACGTCGTACTATGAAGGTTAGCATTAATCATCTTAATGCCTCCTTTTAGAATGAAGAACAAAATCTCACTGCTTCTTGTTACTTGACAGAGAGAATATGAAGAATTTAAGGTGAGGATAAATGCACTTGTGGCTAAATCCATGAGAGTTCCCCCAGAAGGGTGGACTATGCAAGATGAGACACCATGGCCAGGAAACAATACCAAAGATCATCCAAGTATGATACAAATCCTTCTTGCTAAGAATGGAGGCCATGAAGGTAATGAACTTCCTTGCCTTGTCTACATATCTCGCGAGAAAAGGCCTGCATTTCAACACCACAGCAAAGCTGGTGCAATGAATGCCTTGGTAAACATTTCAAGCACCTTCTCTCATCGTTTAGATTATATTTTCTCATTCTCATAAAGCTAAAATAAGCTTTTTGTGGACTAAAAGCTCCTGAATTTCTGTCCAGCTACGCGTGTCAGCCGTGCTAAGCAATGCTCCTTTCGTGCTGAACTTGGATTGCAATCATTATGTGAATAACAGCAAAGTCGTGCGAGAGGCCATGTGTTTCTTTATGGACATACAACTTGGGAATACCATTGGCTTTGTCCAGTTTCCACTAAGATTTGACAGCCTAGATAGACATGATCGTTATGCCAATAAAAACAGTGTTTTATTTGATGTAAGTGCAATAGTTTTAGCTCTAAATTCTGTGTCTTTGTTTTTTAAATTCACTTTGTTCCCTTCATTGTGTGAGTGGAATTTGATATGGTACCATTTTTCTGTAGATTAACATGAGGTGCCTTGATGGAATTCAAGGACCAGCTTATGTTGGTTCAGCATGTATCTTCAGAAGGAACGCTTTTTATGGCTTTGATTCTCCAAAGGCTTCGAAACGCCCACGAATAGTGCAAGTGCACTCAAAACAGGATGAAAATGGAGAGGATGGAAGCATAACAGGTGACCAGAATCCTCCATAATTTAACAAAAACACAGGAACATTTTTCTTATCCCCTTCCATCTTAACAACCACTTTTCTTTTTATAGCAGCAACAGATGAAGACAAGCAGCTATTGAAGTCACAGATGAATGCTGAAAATAAATTTGGAAACTCAACACTTTTTGTGAATTCTTCAATAACAGAAGAAGGTGGTGCTGATCCTTCTTCAAGTCAGGAAGCCCTGCTTAAAGAAGCCATTCATGTCATGAGTTGTAGCTATGAAGACAGAACTCTCTGGGGATATGAGGTATTAAAACAAAGCACTTTTCCATGTCCCTCAAAGGTTTTCCCAAATGAGATGATAGATATACAGCTGAAACATTCTTTATCATTTTTGGCATGTGCAGATAGGTTTGAGTTATGGATCTATAGCAGCAGATATGCTTGCAAGTTTCAAGATGCATTGTCATGGTTGGAGATCTGTATACTGCATGCCAAAGAGACCTGCATTCAGGGGTACAGCTCCTATCAACCTTACAGATAGACTAAACCAGGTGTTAAGATGGGCAGTGGGATCACTTCAGATCCTCTTCAGCCGCCATTGCCCACTATGGTATGGCTTCAAGGAAGGAAGACTCAAGGGGCTTCAGAGAATTGCTTATATTAACAGCACTGTCTACCCCTTCAGCTCAATACCTCTCCTAATATATTGTCTCATTCCTGCAATCTGCTTGCTCACTGACAAATTCATCACACCATCGGTAACAAATTTTCTTTAACTAATTTATTTATTACAATTAATGCCTTAACAAAAACAACTAATGATAGTCATTGGATAAGAGCAACAGTGAGATTGCTCCTTTGAGATAGGAAGGTCACGGGTTTGAGTCTAGAAAATTGTCTCTTTGCGAAAATGAAAGGGTAAGACAACGTACAATTTACCCTCACCCATACCCTGGCAAAGTTTGGGAGCCTTGTGCATAGGGGCTTGTCCTTTAGAAAATACCATTGGATAATCATGAACCTCTAACAAGGCAGTTTTTCATTTACATTTTTAAAGTGAGCATGCTAGATTAAATGAACTGTAATGCATGTAGCAAGGGTTAAATATCACTCAAGTAAAATGAATAAACAAAAGTTTAGTATACATTCCCTATAAAATGAGAATAGAAACATAAATCTAATTTCTCTAAGGTTCTTCGTACTTGCTACCAAAGTTTCCTGAGAACTTTTGAAATGCTTTCAAGCTCTTTCTTTATTCACTGATGAAGCCATTGTTCATTGGTTCAATTTCCAGGTAGGAACTTTTGCAAGTCTAATATTTATTTCTCTGTTCATCTCAATCTTTGCTTCGGCTATTCTTGAATTGAGATGGAGTGGAGTTGGCCTTGAGGAATGGTGGAGAAATCAGCAATTCTGGGTCATTGGCAGTGTGTCTGCAAACCTCTTTGCCCTTGTACAAGGCCTAATGGGAGCCCTAGCTAAAGTTAATAATACAAACTTCAGTGTTGCATCAAAGGCCCCAGATGATGGGGAGTTTCGTGAACTATACACAATTAAATGGACTGCACTCCTAATACCTCCAACTACTATCATAATAATCAACCTTATTGGTATTGTAGCAGGGTTCACAGATGCCATAAACAGTGGTGAACATTCTTGGGGAGCAATGCTTGGGAAGCTCTTCTTTTCTTCATGGGTTATTGTCCATTTGTACCCTTTCCTTAAAGGTCTGATGGGTAGGCAGAACAGAACACCAACTCTTATTGTCATATGGTCTGTGCTTTTGGCTTCTATCTTCTCCTTGGTTTGGGTAAGAATTGACCCTTTTGTGTTAAAAACTAAGGGGCCTGATATCAAGCAATGTGGAATCAGTTGCTGAATCTGTTTTACCTACATCTCTTGAAGATGCATGTCATTTTTTTTACAAGTACGAAACGAATTCGAAGAGCCTAGATGCACCAATATGAAATAATGCTCGAGTACAATTTTTTGTGAAACAACATGCAACATGTCCTTTTCTTTTCCATTTTCCCTTTTTGCATTAAATGAAAAGCGAAAGGGTAGAGCTATATAGTTAATTTTGTAAGTAGGAACAAGTGTTACCATTGATTTTTTTGGCTGCAAATGAGATCAAGATCACTTAATTTATTCACCTGAAGTCCAAATAGCAGATACAGTTATTAGACTGACTGAAATCCAGAGAAGATGCTGAACCTAGCAACAGATAAGGGAAATAAAAAATGGAAATTTTGGTGTAAAAAAAAAGAAGATGAAAAATTTGGAGAACACTTGATAATCAGATGGAAGATGAAACATGGTGACTTTTATGCTTATAGTTCAAAATTAAATATGAAAACATATCACTAAAAGCTCCGTTACAAAAATTCAGAGAAGATGCAAACCATAAAGATTGAAACTAAATATGATTTCCATACATTCACAAAGAGAACATCATCTTCTGTATGGACACAAAAGAATGCAATGCTATATAGGGGTTAATGTTTCTCCTGCAAGCAGATAACTTATATATTGGTTTACATTTGTCATTTAAAGTTAGGGTTTAATATTTTTCCTATTAATGACAGATAAATCTATTTCCTGAACAAACCCACACATTTTTTATGGTCCTGAACTCAGTTCTGGGTTCAGTTCCAATAAGGGCAAAAAAAAAAAAAAAAGGGATGGCTAACTTCTCAACATGACCATCAACCATGCATGCATTTCTTTTCTTATTCTTCTTCCACATCATGCTTACAGTAAGTAACATTCTCTTAATAATATCCTACCCTCCTCATCTTCCCTATTAACTTCTCCAGCAGCAATGCATAGATAACTATTGCATGATAATGGAACTAATCATCAGATAAAAGACAAGTAGGGTAGGATCACATTAACCTCAATTATAGTGCACCCTTTGTTGATTAAGCTGAGCAGCGAGTTCTGGCTAACTGGTTCACATAATGTGCACGCTGTGGATCATCTGCGTGCGCATATGCAGTCCAGGTGTTTGATGAATGCCATAATTTTTTTTTTTATTTTTATTCTTATTTTATTTTGAGCTTCCTTAAAAAAAATTAAAATACAAACTTTTTTTTTTCATTTATAATATTAGGGCATATCTTATGTAGCTTTAATATTCGAGTTGTGAATAATAATTACCTTATTACAAAATTAATTTAAATTTAAATATTCTGCTTTAAATTTTTATTATCTTAAAATTAAAAAAGAGAAAAAATATTTATTCTTTTAAATAATATATAATTATGTCATTTTAAGTGAGAGAAAAACACAAACCAATATATTTTTATTTAAAATTTAAATTAAAAATATCACTCACTTTCTCCACCTATTATTTTCTTGATTGTATTTTTCTCTTACTTAAAATGATACAATTCTATATCTTTTAAAAGGACAAACATTAAACCAAAAAAAAAAAAATGGTATGATTCTAAATTCTAAGGGACTTCTTTATAAGGTTATACTTACCACCAGGTAAGTTTACCACCCTTACAACCAATTTCATCACCGTTAGATTAAAATTAAATCTAACGGTTCATAACTATCTCTTATAATCCTAATTTTTACTCTCATATTCCCCTCTCTCTCTAGGTTTGGGATCTGCACATCTCTCTCCAAATTCTTTGAAAGCGTAAATGTGGATACAAATTTTTTATGACTTTGACATCCGAAAACACAAATTCAAACCAACCCCTTATAATTTCGAAAATTAAATCTAAGGGCATGTTATCAGACAACCGAACTCGTAAAAGTTGTAATGGAATACATCCCTTATAATTCTTTGCGCTGCGTTTATTATGTAACGGAAAGAATTAATTACATGTCCGATTATTCGTTTTGGTGAGATATTTTTACTGGAATTGAAGATCAAAACACTATAACACTAAAGAGTATGAGAGAGTTGATTTTAAAACCTAGAGAAAGAAAGAAATGTGCATATCTCAAACCTAAAGAGAGAGACAGAGAGGGGGGTGTGAGAGTAAAAAATAGGATTATAAAGGATAATTATGAACCGTTAGATTTAATTTTAATCTAACGGTGATGAGATTGATTGTAAGAGTGATAAACTTATCTGGTAATAAATATAACCCTCCCCTATTATTATTCAGATAACTTGCAACAAGCCAGTCTGTATAAAGTCAAAATGTTGATGGTAAATATGATAAAAGCAAAGCGTAAATTTGGATGGGTGTCAATATTTTGCTCCATTGCTTTTCATTTTCTTTTCCTTTGCCTGATACAAAATTACAATTGGAGGCCTCATGCCTCTCTAGTATTGGGGAGAAAAAAAAGAAAGAAAGAAGAAAAAGATGGGGAAAAAAAAAGGATGATAAAACAATATCGATTCCATCATATTTAACGGGAAGAAAACCTATTAAAAAATTTACAGTGGTAAAGAAGCTGAAATATATTAGATACTGATGCTATGGCTGAAGCCGCAAGCGATAAGCTATTACTTGTTAGCTTGGCAGCAGGTCAGGTTCATGTGTGTTTAAATTTCCGAAATTTGGCTACTTGCTTATACCCAAAGCTTGCTTGATTTGCATTAGCTGCGTCCGAAGGCTACTTTCCTCAACCTGTTTTTGCCAAAATTGATTAGAAACTAACACAAGCATGATGGTGGTGATGAAAGCAATGCAATTCTATTCCATTTATGCATCAATTGATGATGAAGAACAATTTCAGACACAAGTCCTTTTAAACTGTCCAAGCCCATCATCAAAGGATGTCCCGTCATTATAAAACATACTATAAGATCTCCAGACAGAAATGGGAAAAATAAAATAAAATGAAATATCCAGCTTTCCCTAATAAGTGTTCTTTCACGAACTTGTCATGTTAGCTGCTTTACAGTAAGCATTACTGAAAAAGTTCATTGTCCTAAATTTTATGAGACAAACAGATGAGATAAAGCTCCGTGTAGCAAAGGGGAATACGAGTAAAACAGGTAACAAGGGAAAGCAACGTGAAGATAATTGATAAAGATATAGAACTGTATTTGGACTTTAGATATTGAGCTGACCCTGAAGATACAAGAACGGTAAATCAAAAAAAGATAAACTAATTATAACCCCTAAGAAACAATGACAAACAACATGAACCCCAATGATAGAAAAATGAGGAAAGGGGTAAGGAGAGATAGACTTCAGCCAGGCCATCAAATCCCTGAACGGCTAAACCCTCCAAGAGGAATATTCAATAAACCCATGCCCCAGGCATATTCATTGTCCTTCTCATTTGTCCATTCTGGCATTACAAAGAAGCATAAAACTTTATGAATATATTTACCCGTGGGAATTCTCAACTGAAGATCAAGACAGAAGTTCTCTTATAAGCAAACATCAATAGATAGTGTAGCTGCATCACTTTAGCAACTAAAACCCAAGTGTATTAACATCGTTATTTTAGGCAGGATAATCTAAAGGTTATACAGCAAACTACGCATAAGCCATATAGATTAAGTATAATGACCTCGCTGGTAAATCTTAATTAGTGATTTAATTTAAGGATTTAAATGTCATAATTAGATTCAGAACATGATTTTGAGTATTTTGACTGTAATCATGACTAAGTCATGAATAGTGCTTTCTGCCAGATGTTCTGCATTGTTGTAAATCAACCGGTAGAGCTTAAAATGAGCAAAATGAGTTTAGAGACCTAATTTGGGAAATTCTGATGTCAAATATGAGTTCAGAACGAAAAATTGTATAGTCTTGCACTTTCCGTGAAAATCTCATGAATAGTGTTTCTGCCAGGTATTTTGTACCTCTGTTTAAGCAACCGGTAGAGTCCAGAACTAAATAATTGATGAAATAAGATTAAGGAAGTCCAATATATGCCAAACAAGTCATGTTTAGACCAAAAGTGTTAAGTTTATAAGTTTTACAGTTTTGTGCGTAAACAGTGCACAGTAAGTGATTCACAATGCATTTCGTCATAAACGGTGCACCCTACTATGAATTAAAAATACTATTCCTTTGGGAATAAAAATTAAGTAAATAAATTCAGAAAAATAAAAATATGTCCGTAGCTTTTAAGTTAGTTCCTGGTCAATTTAAGTGAAATTAAATGAGAGGAAAACAACCGGTAAAAGACCAAATGACTTTATAAACTTAAGTGAGCACTATTCATTACCATTTTTCACTTTTCTCTCTCCTTCCACACCAGAAACCAGCGACAGCCAAGGGTGAAGGGGGGGGGGGAGTTTAGGTTGCTTTCTCAGTTTCTCTCTCTTCTCTTTCTCACTCATCTAGCCACCAAAACACAAAGGTGTCACACATGAAACTTTAAGTAGAGATCATTTTGAACCCATTCCACCTATTCGTTTGGGCTGAAAGGGCTTGTATGAAGAGTTCTCTTCTTCTCAAATTTCGGTCACTATTCATCCTAAAGAGAGATTGGGTTTTTGGGTGGAACCAAGCTTGAGTTTTGTTCTCCAAGCCTTGTATAGGTGATTTGAGGTAAGAGATCCTCATTCCATTGGTTTAAATGTCATGATTTAAGTTTTGAATATTATGAGCACTTTTTGTGGAATGTTATTTAGTTTGAAAATTGAAATTTAAGATGGATTAGTGTGGTTAATGAAGTTAGGATGTGAAATAAGTATGAACATGTGTTTAGAATTTGAAAAAAATTCCCCTGGACCACTATGTAGGGTTAGGCCATGTTGGGCTTTTTGGGGGTTTGGTGTGCAAAAATTAAATTGCATAATTTGTGAAGGATTATATGTATGTGGAAGTGTGTATGAGTGGTTAAATTGAGTTAATAAAAAGAAAAATCCATTGGAAAAGCTCCCTCTAGATTTCGACCTATAGGGTTGCTTAGGGATTGATTGTGTTAAACTTTGTTTTGATAATGTGTTGAGGTTCCAATGCATGGAATTAATAGGATTATGAAGTGAGATGGCTTAAGAAATGACGAAAGGCATCTTGGTTTCTTTTATGGGTGCCTCGGCCTTGTGAAGGAAAGTATGCCTATGTTGTGTTTAAATTGTTAAGGGGAATGCATAAATAATTTAGGGACCTTTGGTGGTGTGAAATGAATAGATGAAAATTCCTAGCTTTTCCCTTAGTCTTGGATTCGGCCTTGTGGGAGTGGTGAGGCTAGGAATTGTTAAAAATTGTAAAGAGTATTTTAGAAGCTTGGTTGGGTTATTCTAAGACCCTATGTAAGGTAATCATCCTTAAATGATCTAATAAATGAGTTTAAGAAATTGCGGTCTTGACTTGTGGATTGACATAGGATTGGTATAAGTGTGAAGAAATGAAAGTAAACAATAAAGTGTATGCCTTGTAATTACATGCCAGTGTAGCATTTTATTGAGTTTTGTTTTGGATTCTTTCTCTAGGTGTGCCAAGGGACTGTGAGCGTTTAGATTCCTTTGGAGCAAGATAAGTAGCTTGTTCTTCAAGTAAGCAAATTAAAAAGCTTCAAGAGATAAGCTCTATGTTTAAGGAGTCTATTCCTACTTGTGTGCTCCACCATGGTTAGTGGACTATGGTTGAATTGTATGATTGTATTTGATGCTTTGTATAGATACATTCATATAGAGCTATTTGATAATATGATATTTTTTGTTCTGATGTGATTTCTGTAATGATCTTTGGCCATTGCTTCTATGTGCACTGATGTCTGCTTGGTGTCCTCCCTCGGGACTGACTGTGTACACCTCTAATATGTTTCTGGTTCCGCTTGGGTCCTCCCTTGGGAATGACTGCGTACGCCTCTAATAAGATATGTATATATGCTTTGTTCAGTTGTGATATCTGTTATATGATGCCTTGTATACTCTGTATCTGACTTTCATGTAGGAGTGAGCCCAGGGTATGGAGAATTCTCTATAAACCTGGAGCTTATTGAGATTTGTTATCTCACCCCGTTTGGGGACATCATTTCAGGTGTAGAGATTGTCGGTGAGCCTACACGAGGCAGGGATACGACCCATGGATAGAGTGCATCGTGGACCGAATTTTGGGTAGCAGTATGCTACTATTATTTTGGAGGATTGTTATTTTGCATTAGTATTCCATTGTTTTGAGGATCATGATGTCTGATCCATTCCTTGTATATGGCCTATATATGTCTTGTACACGTTTCCGTTTTGATGCATGTACAATTGTGTATTCAGGCATGCTTATATGATGATGCAGTATTCAGTTATGTGTATGTGTTGATTTTGCATGCTGTTAGATTTAGTGGCACAGAGCGAAGTTATATATGAGCCCATGGATGGGTATGTGACTTGTGATGGATATCTGATATTTCTATAATCATAGATTATATAAACTGTTTATCAGGATATCTTGAGAGTGAGATTCGCAAATCCCCATTTGTCCGATTTACAGATGTTACTTTGTCTGATTTTCGTCTCCGTCAAATGAAAAGTAAACTAGAAGATGTATGCAATGTGATATATCATGAGAAAAGGATAAAAGAAAAAGAAAAAGTTAGCGCGTATTTTCCTAAGTTAAGTCTTCCGCTGTTTCTGTTTAGTATCATATGTGTGCTAACTGAACCGACTCGAGACGGATGTTCCATTAAGTCTTGTGATATTCATACAAGTAAGAATGTCTAAAATATCTAGAAATTATATCCTGCCAATTGGGTCCTAATCTTCCTAGAAAAACGATTAAGTTCTAAATCCTAACATTGTTTTATGAGACCAGTAAACCATACGCTCAAAAAGTTCTTCACGATTTTCAGAAATTTACTTTATATCGTAGGTAATTTTTGCAAAAATCAACAAGAGAAAGATTTTGACCCTGAGAAGCATTTTGCATAATGACGCGCTCAAGTTTCCTCAACAACTAACTCGTTTTAAGATACAAAATGGTTGTCTAATATGCAGATATCCGTCCTTTGACTGAAAATAGGACATAGTTACTTCTGTGAAGAATGAGGTAGTGTAGCTCAAGAGCAAGAAAACTCCATAATCTGAATTCTCACTCTCTTTATAATATGCTGCTGACACAGTCAATGAAAGACAAACCAAAAAGGAAGGTACTAATATATTGAAAACATTAGCATAGTAAGGAAGTGACACTAGTTTACAATCAAACCAGGGTCTTGATTATCTAGATCTAGAGTGCATTAGTACGATTCTCTAATTCATCATGACTTAAAAGTTGAATCCCTACAATGTGTAATACAAATCAGATCAAATTTAAATTATTCAACGCACAGTGATATATAACTGAAGTGGAAGTGGAATTTACTTCCTACTAATTAATTTATGTTCAAAGGCAATATAAGCTTGAGATATTTGCTGTCCATAATTCATGTTCTTAAACCATATATCATGACTCTCACCTGCATAGCTGCTACCGAAGCCAGTAGCATTTCACATTCATCAAGCATGGCTTTTTCCTGCGCTGCTACAACAGCAACTTCAGAAATTAAACCGTTCATACCCTCTAACTATTACACACAAAAATAACATGGTGTAAGCACCAGGAATAGACCATATGATCTGACGAAGATAAAGAAATCAACAATAAGGCCTTTACCAATAAATCCAAAAATTTTATTTTACAATTTGGAAATCAAAAGGAAGGAAAGGATAAACATGCCCACAGTGAAAATAACAAGTTTGATAATAAATGCATTGGCTTACAAAATAGCTTGATAGACATGTGCTAGGTGATGATGCAAATTATTGAAAATCTTAGTCTGTTATATTTATCCCCATCAATGTTAATATATACTGTACAAATCATGTAGAAAAGCATCAACTCACCTGCGAGAGCAAAGTGCATATTGCAGATCCCATTGCTTGCATGACGCCAACAGCTTGACAGATAGCAACCTTCAAATGCTCAATATCAGCCTGTAAAAGTGCAAACATAGTACTTAAGTCAGTGTTTCTCTAAAGTTATAAAATCAAAAAGACACCCTACCACCATACGTACGGTTGCTCCTCCAGTTACTGGAAGACGAAGAGTGCTCGCCTCCAAGTCTTCCACAGCCCCAGATAGAGCATCAACGTGATCTCTTTCAAGCACAGCCCAATCATCAAGGTAGGTCATCTGCTTCAGTCATTGTCAATGGTCCACATTTAAAAAATGTATGGTTAAGTGTTAAAATATGGAACAATTGAAGAAGGAAACAAAATAGCATCACACACTTATAGCAAGTGAAATTAGAACCTCAACTTTGAAGAAGATTTCATGCAATAACAGTATCTAGATCAAAATGTTAGCCCTTTCCAAAACTATATCAGATGTTCTCCAACTTCAACAAACAGAATCATAATCTTTCTTTTTCAAAAATTAAAATTCATTTAAATAAACTATAATCCGAAAGTAAAAGAAAAACAACTTTTCACTATATATGACCTATCTAAAGGGCTGGCTGGAGCAGTGATAGATATAATATCCCTCACTATGAGATTTAATTAATTGCGTGTAATTAAGCAATTAATCTTGTATTAGTGGGTTAAATTAGGTAAAATATCTAATTAAATAAATTAGGGTCACTTTTGAGGTAAAAAGTACAGTCAATGAAAATTATGCGGTAAAAATGTTAGTAGGCAAAAGTACCCAAAATATAAAAGTAAAAGTAGAAATATTCCTAGAAAAATATTCCAAACCTTTGGGTAAAGTTTGAAAGAGAACGGAGTTAAATAGATAGATAAGCTTTTACTCGGTGGAAATAACTCAACTATGTTAAATGCTAAAAACACAAAAACTCACTTATTTCTCCCTTCTTCGTTGGATGCTGAGAGTGAGGAAGAGAGAAAGCCATTTCCAACTCAAACCCTAACTTCCTTGATTCTCCACCAAACCAAACCATTCCAAAGCCAATCTTGCTTCAAATCTTCCCCTCTTTGTGAATCCAAGCTTGGTTTTGAGTAGGAAGCATTGTGGAATGAGATTTCTTCTTCCCAAAATTCGAACCATTTTGTGATTGGAGGAGTTTGAGGGCATTTCTTTCCATAGGAGCTTAAGAGACCTTCATTCCTTGGTTGTGTGGCCTTGTGTGATAAGTTTCCACTCCTTAACACTTGTTTCCATGGAGATTGCATGAGGTTGAAGATGATGAATAGTGATTTTGTGGGTTTTATGGGTTTGATTTAGATTGAAGCGAAACCCCTTTACAAATGTTGTTAGGAATGATGAATAAATGGTAGAAATGAACTTAGATAGTCATTTGATTATACTATGAAAATTGCAAGAATTTATGCCTAGTTTGTGGATTTTCTTGCATTTGTAAGCAATGGTTTGGTTGGATATTGATTGTATCCATGTGATTGCTAGGATTGAGGCAATTGGACCATCCTTGAGTGACCAACCATTGGAGGAAGCAATGGAATTTGATTAGCTCATTGAGATTGGTAAGTCCATGCCTATTGTGGTGTGAATATGTTTGTTGGGTTGATGAATATATTGGTATTCATTGGATTGCCTTGATAGATTGTCTAGTACTTTGATGTAGGTATTGATTGTGAAGTTTGATTAGTTGCACTTGCACATTGGGTGGGACAAAGGTTGAGATTGGAAGCAATTGAGGTAAGCCTTCAGACCCTGGAAATTGATCCCTTAATTGTTCCACCAAGCCCTGAATGGGTAGTGGTTGTTGATAGTGTATGTAAATGTAGTAAAGTAGTTTAATGCTTTGTTATACGTATGTGTATGCACTGGGTGTGGCATAGGATGGTGTTTCCCTGTGTTTTGCATGTTGCATGACGATGCGTAATTCATACTTGGTAGTTTAGCTGGCCAGTAGGACTATTTGCACCTGAGTATCCTTAGGACAGCATGAGAGCTCGAGGGATGTCTCCTGGAGATGTTTGACACACTGCATGAATATGTATTTACTGTATTACTTACTGTTATTGCTATTATACTGTGAGTGAACTATGGGGTGGAGAAATGCTCCAAGGACCCCTGGTTTACTGAGGTATATTCGTATATCTCACCCCGTGTTGTGGGGACCCCCTTTCAGGTCCAGAGTCACAGAAGCCTCTGGTGGCAAGTGGCCATACTTGGACTAGATTGATACATGAGGATGTTGCATTATTTTGGTTATGCATGTCATTTAGTAGTTCCCATGTATAGGATTTACATTTGAAAGCCATTTGATATATGTACGTCATGCTTTATTTTGATGGCCTTAGCCTATGCTCACCTCTTTTAGTGTCTCTTGTTGATGGGAGCCAAGCATTTGATCATAGTGTTTTGTAGCTAAGTCTCATGGTTATGTATTAAAGAAATTTGGATACTGTGTAATATAGTACTTGTTGTATATATATGATGGAAGGGCATGAATGCCTATTTTGATAAATGTGCGTCTTAAAATTGTAAGGATTATGTCTTGTAGTAGTTATACAATGCCAATTAGGTGAAAGAAGACATTTAGGTTGAGATCAATGTAAATATAAAGATATCATGTCTTGTTGTCAATTTTTCATATCCTATATGATAGGTTTGGACCCTTGTGTCTTAATGGAAGTTATAGATCTTTTTCTTAGCTTTCCAATGAGACCAAGATTGCATCAATCGGATAAGTATAACCCAAGTTATGGGTGAAATACTAAAATAGAGTGTGATCTCCAGAACTGTGGCACCTGCGAATTCAGCACCTTTTTCTTCAAAAATTCATAACTTGAGCTACGGTGTTCCCATTTGAGCGTGGTTTGAATCCACGCGCAACTAACGAAGAGATCTATAACATATTGGGAGATGAGGACCATAGAAGTAGTATAAAATTCTTTAAGTTAATAAAAAGTGGAGGTGTTTAGTGTTGAATATCAATAAGAATGAGCTTTCAAGCCTTGTTGGTCTAAGGGAACTACTCGGCACACTGGGGTAGCAACGTATGGTCTAAATAAAATTACATCCAGTGTTCCACTCATCGTTTAAGTTATGATTACAGTTACTGGAATTGTTTCAATTACGAAATTGATTTTAGACAGAAACGTTTATTAACGAAAAAGGAAAAGTTTATTCGTATTATAATTCAATTGTTGTGATTGTAACTACGCTTAATGCCATACGTAATATTAACAAACTGGTTCTAAAACGGGGTGTTACAGTAGAGTTGCTCCTTTGTGACAGAAATGTCACAGGTTCGAATTCGAGAAATAGTTTCTTTGCAAAAATATGTAATAGGAAGACTGCGTACAATGATTGTCCTCATTCTAACCCTCGCTAGTCGGGGTTTAATAAGGAGTGGCTTTTTTTTATATATAGAACCTATCTCTTGCTGTGTATATTTGCATCACTTATAAACATACCAACGAGTCAGTCAATAACTATCTCATGTTAAATTATCCTATAAGGAAAAAACACAAAAAGAAGAAGGAAAAAGTAACTATGATATACCATGAACAATAAAAGCTGGCATATAAAATTATATTCCAGTGAAGGGAGAAATATTACTTGGTCATTTAAAACAGAATTTAGCTTAAGCTCGAGCTTCAGCTGCTGAAGATTGATCCTTTTCCTAATAACAGACTCCCACAGGGACAAAGTAGTGATCCAAACATTATATAGAGTTTTCTGCACCATTGAATAAGTTCTTTTTTAAAAATAAAAAAATAAAAAAATAGGCAAATGATTTGACAAATGCAATCATATACACAGCAGAAGAACTACATCAAAAAGAGTTTGTCAGGTTGTCAAAGGTACTCAGCAATACCTTCACAATAGCATTTTGGATGTGAAGTATCGCCTCAGCTCTCGCATTGGCGAACCTCCATTGCAAGTATCTGTTGTAGAGAAGTCGTAATTGGTGAGCATCTTCTGCGCCCTTTTTCACCTTTTTAAAATCAGCAACAAAGCTGAGCACTGAAATTGAATTGTTGGATTGAATGGATGAATAGGTTTGCCTTATTCGAGATGGACTAACCCCTCTAGAAGGAGGAGTTGATGGCCTTGACCTACACGGACTGACACCTCTTGAACTAGAAGAGGATAGCACTGAGGTCTTACTAGGTGAGGGCAGCCGTGATCCCGGAGCTGACAAGGACTGAGATCTGACTCCAGCAGTTGCTAATCCTGCTTTATCCGAAGGAGTTGCAGAAACAGATTTGTGAGGTCTTAATTCATGTAGCGAACAGTCATCAACTGATTTAACCTCTCTTCCTATTCTGCCACTTCCAATAAGCGATAATAGTCTTACAGAATCACTGGAAGCCCGTTGCAAGGGTTTACTTTCTTCTTCTGATATAGACAATCTTCTCAGTGAAGACAAACCAGTTCCTGGAACAGAAGTGTTCAACGTTCTGGTATCAGCACGATCAACACTTCTGTTTAATGCACTAGAAGATACCTTCCCACCTATCCTACTCGGCCACCGATGCTGATCTATTAACCGAGAAGGCAAACTATCAACTGGTTTAGAATTCTCAGACTGATTAGAAGTACTTTTCCCTTTAAGGGGACTCCTCTTTCTCTCTGGCGTAGCCTTTCTTGTGGTTGGACTTTCAGGCTGCTTGTGTGTCACATTTGAAGCAGGCCTCAGAGTTCTATCAGAGGCACTACTAACTAGCTTCTCTTTCTTGCTAACAGGTATGGAGATGGTATCTGACTGGAAAGAAACGCTCAAACTTCTCATTGTAGAAGGCCATAGACTATCAGGCAAACGGCTTCCTGCTATCCTTCTTGACGACACAGAAGACTCATTGACAGGTGTAGAAGGTCTAGGTGGTGGGGATGGAGGGGTTGAAGGTCTCTTCCTTTCCACCGAGTGAGCTCTCTTTTGTAACAACTGGGAGGATGAAGAAGGTGTTGTTCTTGTGAGGTTTGGTGAAGGGCATCTACGAGGACCAGAAGGGGTGGCCGGAGGAGTAGGTGACTTGTACCGAGAACTAACCTCCCTTGTTCGAGAGCGCCTGGTGGTGGCTGCATTGTTCTTTTCAGTCAGAATCAAAGGTAGTCTTGGGGTCACCACAGCTTTGTGTTTCTGTGATGCTTGCTCTGATTCACACACATCCATCCACCTTATCCCAATCAGACCACATTGATAGGAATTTTCATCAAACTAAACCAGATTCAGCAGCCTTGACAATCATGTGTCCCGCATTCAACGGAATAAATGAACCGCCCCAAAACTATCCAGAAAGGAGGTCCTTTACTGTGCAGTAAATCTGCCAGAAATGCAACAGCCTAAAAGTCAGATTAAAATAAATAAAAAAAAAAAACAGAAAAGAAAAGAATTAAACCCATCTCAAAAAGGAAAAGAGAAAAAAATAATAATGGAAAAAGCGCACATCTTTACAAAGACTCAGATCTGTCGGAGAACGATTTTGACAATCACACCCAGTAAACGCAAGTGGGTGTGTTTTTCTCATTAAATTGAGCCCAAATTGAACCAGATCAGGACATGGCAAGAAGAACACAGAGAGGGCAAACAACATTTGGTGTAATGGGTGAGAGAAACTCTCTGAAACTGTCACGACCACGATGTGCATTTACCGTTTATTATCATTAGACGTTGGTTATTTGTTTAACTGAACAATAAGAAGGTTTCAAATTGCAGGGGGGGTAAGGGAGGGGTCCCCTTGGAAATTGGGGAAAGGAGGAAGTGGACTTAGAATCTAGATAACGGATGGTGTAGGATAAGAGAGAGGAAGTGCGTAGGGTAAGGTACAGGCTTTAAAATTTTCCCCTCTCTCACGGGAGTGCCATGGTTGTGTGCGTGCGCTGGCAATGGGTTTCACTCCACATAAAACGCACTATCTCCTATTTCTTCACTCTCACAGCAACAACAAACCCCTTTTCATAAAAGGGTATACTCAACGAAAGGGATTACCAAAACTCTCTATTTCAGAAAAAACTACCCTCTCCTTCCCCCGAAGAAACAAACTATTCTTCACCTAAATCAATGTTGTAGGTTTTTTCCTAAGATGAACCACCATACTAATTAATAGTAATTACCATAGTATACTATGTGGTACTCTAACTGTTTATTTATGAGTTTTCCTCTAAATTATGTCTGTTGTTTTGTTTGTATGCTGTGCACAATTATTATAATGTTCTTAATTTAATCGAAGGTTGGAATCGCAGGTGGTAATGTTCTCGGGTAGATGTGTAAAGACATGCAGGTCCACGTGCAGGGACGATCATTGTCCATCCCTATAAAACTAGCACGATTCAGAAATACATATATAATTAGCTTCGGAAAAAAACAAGCAAAAAATTCAGAGACATCGTTTCCTTTAACAAAAATATATATATAAATAAAGAAAATAACATCTGTTATTTTAAAGATATAAGTTATAGATCTTAATTGTTGATTTCCGTCCATCAACTGTTATAATCTATTGAATCAAAATTATTAATTAATTAATAATAAATTTGATCCATTAAGTTTGACCCAATAGATTATAACTGTTGATGAACGAAAATCAACTGTTAGGATTTAAAATGATATAAGTTTCTATCTTTTATATTTTTCCCATAAATAAATAAAATTACAATAACAGCACTAATAATAGAAAAAGCATAGAATAGTAATTTCGTTTTTAACCACCCCGAATTGTTTTGCTGATTAATATGAACGAATTTCGATGAAATCAAAGAAAGAAAGAGAAGAAAAAAAATTTCTCGGAAAATTTAGAAAGAAACAAACTAACAAAGGGTTCCGAAGAGAGATCCATGACAGATGTGTGGATGGATGGACGACATGTTCGTGTCTCTCTTACTGAAGACACGTTCAGTGTACCACTGTTGATGTAACGAATCGAATCTCACAGAAACAACACGAAAAGCTAGTTCATTGAATCTTATTCTAAATCCCTTCGTTCAATCAAGAAACAAAATAGAAACTTAATTTTGAAAATTCAACCTCTAATCTATTGAAAAAAGAAATGAAAATCAAAAGCAGAAAAACTCGATCATGAATAAAAACCAAAGTGATCCCTGCATAATGTGATAGTAAATGAAGTGATCTAGATCAAACAAATTAAGAAAAAAAAATTAAAAAAATATATATCCAAAGCGGAAATTAATCAGAACATAATTTTCTCAATTATGAGAAATTTCGCGCGCCCAAACGCGTTGGAACTTCGCCCAAAGCTTCAGAAAGTGAATGAAAATCAGTGTAAATAAACGAGTGATAACTCCTTCTTCCTCCGAAGAAGAACGAAGGTAGAGAATCCATAACCTTCCGATGTCGCCGGAGATGAACGGAGGGAGTACGGCCGGTCGTCAGAGACTGGTTTTTCGGCGAAAGCTTTTTCGTGATTTTGAAAGACAGAGAGGGAACGATAAAGGGAGACAATTAAAAGAGAGAAAAAAAATTTATGATTTCGTGCTACCAATGAGAATAAAAAGGTTTTCTTAAGAAAAATTTTATTAAAAAAATAACAAAATAAAAATTAAAACGAAATATGAGAAAACGGTTTCAGTTGGGGAATGGAGGGAGAAGTAGGACCAGTTGTTTTCGCGCCACCTACTTTTAATTAGTCTTGTCCTCTAAGCAGTAATTATTAATTTTACTTATAATTATTGGTATTTTTATTATGGAGTTTGATTTTCTCACGTCGCATGAGAATTGAATTATCACGTTGTGACTCAATTATGGGTGAATTTTACATTTATTAAAAAATAAAAAGAAAAGAAAAACTTTGCATACAAATCGAACGGTCACAACATGATAATTCAATTCTCATGCAATATGAGAAAATATTTTTCCTTTTAGTATATATGATATGATTCGTACAATACGATACAATTAATAAGCATGCATAACGATAATATCATGTGGTGTATCAAAAAAAGATTTATATAGGATGATAAGAAATTGTGTTATACGATACGTATTGCGTATCATATAATACGAAAATTAAATCAAAATTTATGACTTCTAATAAAATAAATAAATAAAAATTTTGATTTATGATTCAAATTAAAAAAATCTAAAATATAATTATTAATAAGAAAAAAATAATGATTTAATTTTTGATTTAAAATCAAAAATTAACCTAAAAATATGTATTAATAAAGAAAATAATTAAATAAATATTTTAATAAATATTTATAAATTATTTTTTATTATATTTTTGTATATTATGATTCGTTACAATTCACGATACAAAAAACTGTTCAAATAATACATGATACATATTGCGATTTAACAACTTGGTTTTGCTATTGATTATTTTAGTTTAACTAACCTTTTATATTATTTTAATTTAAAGTGCAACTATCCTATGGCAACATCAACAACATGTGTGAAGATTTGTGTGTTTGTGTGTGTGAAGATTTTTACTTATTTTTGAAATTTTGGTTTTGCTTTCATTAGAATTAAAACCTTAAATACTTTTCTTTATTGAAGTACTTCACTAACATAATTTCTTTCAACAACTTCCAAGGCTTGACATCAGGTACACGTTCTTTACTTTTAGGATATAGTACATGTCATGTTATACCTACTATACTTTTTTCTTTTCTTTTCTTGAATTTATATTGGTAATGGTAAGTTAGCTTTCATTAGATGTACAACTTTATTAGATATTACTTCTGAAAATAACTTTTACTAATGCATGATGCATGTATATTTTGACACGTTACGCCTTTTAGGTACATTTCATACCCCAAGTCTTTGTTTTTTTTATAATAATAGACTTAATATGCAATTTGTCATCCTGAGTTCATGTTTATTCATCTCAATGTGTCAACGTAACTACCATTAACTAGTTTTTCTTTTTAAAAAATAAAATGAAATTCTAGTTAATTATTACAATATGTCACCTATTTGTTATTAAATAAAACATAGGCATTACTATTTTTCAAAAAGACAAGGACGTTTTATTTATGTTATATGAAAACTAATAGAAATAAACAATTAAAATAAGTCACTTAATTACCTGTTTATCAAAGTATAGTTGTGTTTTTTGGGCTTTGTTACCAAAAAAAAAAGGGGGTATAGTTGGGTAAATATGGTGTGCCAAATTGTTACGTTTTTCACTTTTCTTACATTTTCTCCAACCATATCTTAGAAAGAAATTCAAAATTATTGATTCTTGCTCGCTTTATTTAACACAGTACCTCTTCAACAATTAAAATCAATTAATACTTACTACAAATTAAAGAAGAAGCAAGATGACAGGTTCGTTTTGGGATCAATTATTACCGGAGGTAAGAGAAAGAAGTTGTTACTTGATGAATTGGTATTTTGACAAACTTTTTTTTTTTTTTTTGGTATAAAGTATTTTGACAAACTTAATATGAAATCTCAAATCATTCTTTTAATTATTTTTTATTTTTATTAAATATTAGTTCTGTTATAGAAATCTTAAATTTTTAAAACTTATGTCCGCTAATTATGATTTTTATTTTTGACAATATACTTTGAAAAGTAGTATTATAATTTTTTTTTTGTGGTATATTAAAAGGTAGAATTAGATTAAAGTTCTCTGTGATACAGATACATTAATATGAATAAATATATAGAAAAATATTTCTGCAGTTAATGCATATAAGTTATCCGCATTTATTTTCAAAACAATGTCATTTTGGGATTGAAAAATTAAAAAATTAAAATTATAAAGACTATAATAACTCTGAAATAAATTAAAATTACAAAAATACCATGATTTCCGCCCCAAAACGATATCGTATTGGGCTTACTGCAAATAACTTATCTGCAGTAATGGTAGAAAAAACGAATCCATAAATATATATTCATTACAGAATAAGAATAAGCAGAGCAAGTGAAAGTGAATGATATTATGGAAATTAACTTCAGGGAAATAGGTTTGTACAGTAGAAAAGTAAGGAGGGAAATGTTGGTAGGTTGAAATGGATTACCTTACTAGTATAACATGTTCAGAGTGAACAAGTTACCTTAAAAATGAAAGAAAGAAAACAAAAAGTATCTCAATTAAAGGAGAATACACTTAACACATTATAAATGCTGTTGCACCCAAATTTTAGGGTCAATATTGATTTTGGTTCTTTAAAGGTTCGGTTGGGATGCTTTGGTTTATGAAAGATAAGTAATATTATTACAAAAAAAAAAAAAAAAAAAAAAAAGATAAGTAATATTAATTTAGTTCCTTAATTATGGAAAGTGATATATCAAAATTATCAATTTTTTGCACAGGCTATGAGATTGAAAGATTAAAAATAAATTGATGTCGACTTATTTTGAGATAGCTAGGGACTAAGTTGATGTCATTGTTTAATTATTGAGATAATAAATTGAGGTCAATTCCTTTAAAAGACCAAACATATTAAGTCAATTTAACTCATTAACTTGAACTATAGTAATTGGTTCAAATTAATTTTCGGGTTCGTTATTCAATCCAACTTGATAAACATCCTTGATAATGTTAGGAAATACTTATGTATATATTGGATAGTAGTCACAACACATCGTCATGTGAATT